GTTGTGTCAAAAAATAATGCCACTTATTTCATTTTTCAGTTTAAATACAAGGAAGCATCGAGGAAAGGGTTAATCGAACGATGGCTGTGAAATGCTCAATAGATGACACTACGGCCCAAATGCCACTCCCACTGGTGTCATGATTTCAACATTGATGTCTGTAGTAAACTGAGCACAACTGTCTAGGTCAGCTGCTAAATACATAACCGATTTTGTGTTTTCTTATATATTAAATCTTAACCATGTTTAAGGTGCAAATGGGAGGCCTTCGATAACAAGACGTTTTCTATTGAGCTATAATATGTAAAATAATAAAAGTATTTATGGATGATTAAATAGAGAAATGAAGTTGAAGCATTTACTCTACCACAGAACTCACTTCATGCAAATGTACTCTGGCGATAAGCATATTATTGTTATTATGGTCTGAGGGAACATTTTCCTCCAGGGCATCTCACAGAAATTAAAGTTCTCGGAGAATTTGGAATTTGTTAGACTGGGTCTAAGAGTTTTTCCAGTACAAATTTCCAGTAACCCATACTCAATATTTTCACGTAATTAAGAAAGAATTTGAGTGACTTAAAAAAATCGACAATGTCACAAAGATTGCTCTGAAGATACATTTATTGTGACAAGGGAAACAGGACACTAGACACACAGCCCCCTTAGCCTTATCAGTAAGTTGATTTGGATGATTCCTTTCATTCCATCCACCCGTTGTAGTTTATAATAAGCTTTCGTGACCAAGCATAAACTGATTGCCGATGAAATGGAAATTGGCACTTTTAAAGCAATACAAAAACAAACAAACCAACAAAAAGGATTCTATATACAGAAATTAAGGAGGAAATATGGGCTGGAGACATTTATGCTCATGGATTTTTTTAACTTCTTCATGATTTTACCTTATACCTAAATAAAACATCGGAGCTTGGGTATGAGACACCAAACAAAATGCGACTGTAGCTTTGCTCTACAGGCGTCTCATCAATCACTTCTAAATCAAAGCAAGTGACAAGCGCAAACAACAACTGCTTCACTTCAGAGACTGCAAAAAACCGGCCTGGGCATTTGGAAGCTCCGGATCCAAAGGGTATGATGTAATAGTTGAGCTTCTTTCCTCTCTTGAAAAAGGTCGTTTTCTTCTTCCCATCTTGTACAAAGCGATCATATCTAAACTCCTGTAACAAAGAAAGAAGGGGTAAACCATGGCACAAATTAGCTTGAATCCCGTCCCACAAAGGTTTCAGTCAGCTCCGTCTTTAAAGACCTCCGTGGAATCTGGCAAATATCAGAAAGCAAAACTTGACTGAGTGCCAACAATGTATGAATTTTCAAAAACCCTCAAATATTACTAGAAAAACCGTCACCGCACATGAAACTAAAACCCAAATGGACCTGTATGAGCTCTCTTTCCTGTTCGTTATCGATTTCATTCTCCCAGTTTCCCACGCCCTCTCATGTGTCGCTGCTAAGGCAGGCCCTCTTGGTGAGCATTTGGTATTCTGGGGTGTTCTGAGAAAGGGGAGGACTCCTTCATTACCACCACCGTGACCGGAAGAATGAATCCCAGGAGCCTCAGAAGACGCCCTGCTGCAGATCTGCAGATCCCTAATGTGCTTCTGTCTTTCCCCTGACGGACAATGAGGAGTTTAGGAGATACACTGTATATTTGGATTAAATAGAATTTAACAGTAAGGTGTAGATAAATACCAGGTAGGAAGGATGCCATAAGATAGGTTTGGCTTGGTTTGGTTTTGTTTTTCTCTCTCTTCTATTGGGTTATAATTTCAAAGGATCCTGACTAAAAAAATAGTGACTTTCCTTGAGGAAAATGGTATTAGAATGAATTCCTGCATGGCAGACAGCGTTGGCATGTTTTGAGAAGTGGCTTCAGTTTTGGCAGAGAATTGTGGGGCTGGGTTTGCTCCGGTAGTTGGTTCACCATCGTCATTTTGCCTTGCTGTAAGGGTTATGGTTCAACTCTCACCTGAGTTTCTAAGAGGAGACTGAGTGACCTTATTTCAGCCCATGGTGAATTAAACCATTGATTAAATTAATGCATGTGGCATGCATGAAAACGACGAAGTATTTCTTGTACTTGGGGCTCATTAGCATGAGACTTGTTCAGCACACAGCTTTACTATGAACTACATGAAGGCCCGTGCAAAGAAGCCAGTCGGATTGAAAGCACTCAGGGTAGAGTGATAATCATATAATATGAGTACATTCCAAAGTCCCTTATAAATAATCTAATTTCCTCACTCTATCTGTGTTGTTAAAATCAGCAAATTATTTTCTTTAAAAGTGCTGGTTTTAATTTTATCCATATTTACCTAGCTTATAGATTTGATAGGACATATTGATGCTTATAAAAATACTCTTTGAGGGAAGGTAGGGTAGAAAGGGGGAACTGATTACAAGGATCTACATATAACCCCCTCCCTGGGGGACAGACAACAGAAAAGTGGGTGAAGGGAGACGTTGGACAACATAAAAGTGGGTGAAGAGAGACAGTGTAAGACAAGACAAAATAATAATAATTTATAAATTATCAAAGGTTCATAAGGGAGGGGATCCAGGGAGGGAGGGGGAAAATGAGCTGATACCAAGGGCTCAAGTAGAAAGCAAATGTTTTGAGACTGATGATGGCAACGAATGTACAAACGTGCTTGGCACAATGGATGTATGTATGGATTGTGATAAAAGCTGGAAGATCCCCCAATAAAATGATTAAAAAGGAAAAAAAACCTCTTTGAATGAATTCTGTTTGCCTTTAATTTGGAATCGATGTAATCACAATGACAAAATTATTGTTGCTTTGGGGGGTACATTACTTTTTCATGTGCAAAATTTCTGTTTGAGTCCTTTTAAAAAATAACAATATTTTATTGTAAATTAGGTAGGTATTTACATTTTAGATGTTCAATTTTATATTCAACAATTTGAATAAGTAATCACACTCCTCAATAGTTTACACATAACCTCTCTTTGATTTCACATCTGCCTCTTCTAACTCCTAACAACTAATATTTGAACTCTTTAGAACAGTAATATATTTTATCATAGATGTTCTGGGATGCATCTAAGAAGAATCTAACCAGCATTAACCTTAAAACACTAGTTTGTACCTGTAGAAGGAAATCTCTGGGTTGCAAACATAGTTAAGCCCTGGGCTACTCGCCCAAAGGCTGGGGTGCCGCAGAAGACAGGCCTCGCAGTGTGCTCTTGAAAGACTGTCTGCTTGAAAACTCGATGGAGCAGTACTACTGTGCACAGGAGGGGCCACATGATGGCGCACACTTTCTCACTGATGGCAGAATTACTATAAGCCACTCTTTCCATGACTGAGGGTGGGACTACTTGTCAGAAGTCAATACCATGTCTTCCTGCTCCTTGTTGTCCCAGGATGGTTGGAGCATTCACTCTGTGGTAGTTACATATTCCATGTCAACTTGAGGATATTAAGAGCGAAGGAGTGGGGTCTAGCCTGTCAAACAGGACACAGTCTGATGATGCTTCCTTGTGGATATGGCCTTCTTATGAGGATTCTGGGAACTTCCTCTCTTTCTCCATGGAGGTGAGCCACACTTTCTCTCTGCTTCACTTTCCTGTGTTGAAGAGACACTCAGAGAGCTGGAGGAGCCACACATAGCCACGCTGATGGCAGCCAGAGCCCTCAAGATGCGTCCACTGCCACTGGATCCATGAGACTTAGCACTCACTGGCCTGTGATCTTCCCTGCATTTGTCATCATCGCATGTGCTATGTGAGTCTGAAGAGGAATTTATGTACTAGTATAGGACAGATGGGCTAATATCTAACTTATGGATTGATCTGGATTGGGTTGGGATGTTTAATCAATATTCAATTGCTCTTTGATATAAAGCTCTCTCTTTCACACCTATGAGTGCCTCTGGATTTGTTTCTCTAGTCAACCTTGACTAACACACTCTCAAACACTTTTCATGCCTAGGCAAATCAGTTTAAGTGAACTTTGCACTGAAATGATTTGTTACACAAGGTTTAGGCCAGAAGATGCAAAAATAAAAAGTTTAGCTTGAGTTATAATTTCAAAGGATCCTGATGTCATAACTAAGCCAGAAGCTGTCATAGATTGCATGTTCTTTGTGAAAATCTGTGCTGCTGCCCCATTAGAGGCCATAGTGCTAAATGCATGGTGCTTGAATGTCCCCATCCCTGTGATCTTGTGCTAGAATTATTAGCATGCCAGGCTCTCAAATTTCTCATCAGTGAAACAGTAATGTTGCTTCTCTCGTTTCCATCTACCTTCTGTCCAATCTTCTATACATAAATGTCTTAGAAATTCCTACTTCGCTTGTCATTATATGAATCACAAAGGCAGAAGGCCAACTCCATTGCTCGGTGACCACCAACAAGCTCAAAAGGAACAAGGCCACTAATATATTGTGAGTTAAAATTTCTTTCCAGCCTGTTCCGTTGCCAGGGTGGACAATCTGAGCAGTAGCAAAGTTAGGAAAAGCCTCTGGAAGTTGCTGGGAAGCTAGGTAGGTTTTACCTCCAAAGGGAAAGGATGTGAGTCTCATCCTTGGGATTTTGGAGACACAAGGACATAGAACATAGGCCCAGGGAAGCTCAAGATGTGCACACTGTTTGGAAAGACTGAACTACAGGGCTCTCCATGTGGAGGGAGAATTTTTTGCAGTAATGATAAAAGCCTTGGCATTTTAGAATTAAAGAAGATCAATTAAATGAAATATCAAAGGGGTCAGAATATAGGAATCTTAAGAGATGGTGCATGATACTGAAATTCCCTATTGCCTCTAGAGACTGTTGCAGTCAGCTCCCTCAACGCCATTCCTTTGCCTAAGATTTATCTAAGCATTAATCACGGTCATCAATTTCCCCTTGCCAGCGTGTAGTCTAGAAGAGGTTGTAGGTGAACCAGCCTGGTCAGTGTTAGATGGGTGAAAGTCTGTGGGGATATCTGGGAGAAGTTCCCTTCCCCTGAAGAAAGAAAAATACACGCAAAGAACTCATTAGACTTCTTTCTCTGCACCTAGCCATGTGTGATCTCTTTTATAGCTCTGTATTTTCAAATACAGATTCTCCACAGAAGAATGAACGCATTTGCATGACGGTGCTGGTGAAAAATAGGGCAAGGGCCATGGACTGCGAGAAAACAAACAAGTGTGTCTTCAAAGAGGTACAGACTGAATGTTCCTTAGAAGCAAGGGTGGTGAGACTTAGGTTCACACACTTGGGACATGCTATCAAGAGACCAGTCCCTGAAAAATAACATGCTGCTTGGGAATGGGCTCTGCCTTAAGAACCATCATGAGCATGGTGCAGAATCAATCAGCAGTGTTTCATACTGTGGTCTGTAGGGTGGTGGCATTAGGCCCGGTGCACTACAGAACAAATCCAGTGACCCTCACACATGTGTATCAAGAAGTAATTATACATCAAGAAAATATCCCAGTCCAACCCAAGCCCATAAGGCCCATCCTAGTCCTTCTTCAGACCCATGCTGTCATCTCCAGTGATGCAGGACACAAGACTATCACAGGCTGGTGAGTGCAAAATCATGTGGATCCAAGGTCAGTGGGAACATGGCAGGGTTCTGTCAGTGCTTCAGGTGGCCAGCAAGCAGGAGAGAGGGTGGGAGATTCCCTGGGCCCTCCTTATGAGAAGGCCACACCCACAAGAAGGCAGCATCAGGCTGTGGCCTGATTGACAGGTTAGATACCACCCCTACACTTGTATCTATCTTCAAGTTGACATAAAATTATGTAACTACCACAGTGGCTGAGTCAGAACTAACCAAAAGGCACTTAACTAACACTTTTAAGTCTCCTAGACCAATGGATATAGTAGAAGCTCTCTCTATATATTTTATAACTAAGGGGCCCTACTGGCACAGTATGTTATGCAAAGGGCTGCTAACCTCAGAGGCAGCAGTTCAAAACCACCAACCGCTCCTGAGGCAGAAAGATAGGCTTTCTATTCCCATGAAGATTGATAGTTTAGAAAACTCAGAGGTGCAATTCTACGCTGTTTGTATGGTCACAAAGAACTGGAAATAACTCAAAGGTAGTGAATCAGTGAGGCTTTTTTCCTAAATGAGAATACAGTACCTTTTAGAAAATTTTCCAGCTTTTGGAAAAACAAAGCTACTGAATAGGTAAATAAACATTTAGTAAGTGGGAAATAAATGTCTACTCAATGCTTAAAACTAATGGAAAACAGTTTAGTACTAAAGCATTAGAAATATAATCCAAAGAGATGATACACATTTCTGGATAGAAGAGAATTTTGGATATCAGGGACTGCAAAGGATTGCATGACACCCTAACTTGTGTTCTCCAAATACTATGCCAAGTTGTGTTCAACATATTTGCTAGCACCTCCTCTATGTGAGGTACTACATTTTCAAAGGAATAAAACATGGTCTAACTTAGATAGGTGACACACAATATGTTAATGAATTGTACCTACTTAGTGTATAATTTTGCATATAGATATCTAAGTGAAATATTAGGTATGACTTCCTAAAACTGAACAAGAGCTACCAGTTTTTCCAGTGAATGACTAAGGGTTGCACTGTTTCTCTCAGGTACAGCTCTCCTGCGGCAAGTTGACAAGAGGCCAGGTGTCCATTTTGACACTTTGATCCATCAGGAGTGTGCTCCAGGCAGTTTTACAGAGCACGAACATTTCTTCCCAACTCTGCGTTGTGTTACTGTCACCTTTGTAGCCTGAAATTGGCCAGGATGGGATATGTACACCACAAAGGAAACGAAAACTAGCAACAAATCAGAGATTTTTCTGAATATCACTTGTACCAAGAATGCTGGTACCAGTAACCAGTCAATGCAGAGGTGATTCTGATTCAAGGTGACCCAGTGGGTGTCAGAATAGAATTGTGCTCCGTAGGGTTTGCAGTAGATAATTTCTACAGAAGGACATTGAAAGGTCTTTCTTCTGCAATGCTTCTAGGTTGAACTACCACCCTCCGGTTAGCAGTCAAGCACACTGACCAGTCAGGCAATCCACAGACTTCCAGTTTACTGGTGTGGCAGGAACTCTCTCTCATCATGAAGCATCTGAATGTGAGAAGGCAGCCATGTGGTAGCGTCTTTGAGTCCCTAAAAACTGTAAGCTCCTAAGTGTGGGGGCCAAAATGTATTTATCCCTGATGTCACTCCCTTTGTCTGTCAGGGTGCTTTGGGTAGTAGATGTTCAGTATGTTTGTTTACTTTCAGGATGCCCTGTTTTTTTTGAGGCACAATAAAAAATTATTCGGAATGCGTACATGGAAAAATCATGACCCTCGTTCTCCCTGAGTTCCCACCTTGTGGGAGCCTAGACTGATACACAAGTGATTGCAAAATGCCAGCTAGTACCTGACACAACAGAACTGTACAGAGACCAATAGAGTAAGAAGTAGCGAACTCTCTGAGGACAGAGGTAGAAAGGAGAGACACCATCAAAGGAAAGGTGAATGGATAAGATGATGCTTGTGGAATAATGGGGAACCTTCTAGGAATGCCTGGGTACAGTGAATGGCTAATCATCCAATGAGTAGTTGAAAGGTTGGCAATCTGAGCCAACCAGAGGTACCTCAGAAGGCAGGCCTGGTGATTTGCTTCCAAAAGGCCACAGCCTTGGACACCTTAGGGAGCAGCTGCACTCTGCACATAGGAGGTCACTGTGAATTGGAATTAACCTGAAGGCAACTAATCACAGTAGACAAATAAGAAAAGGCATTCTGAGAATCGAGAGATGCATGTGCCTTAAGTGTGAAGTCACACCGTAGCCTCTTTAAGGAACATCATATCCTGGATGGCATAATGGTTATACATTGGGCTGCTAACCATAATGCCAGCAGTTTGAAACCACCAGCCGTAATGTGGGAGAAGGACAAGGCTTTCTACTCCTGTTAAGAGTTAACAGTCTTGGAAACCCACTGGGGGTGGGGATGCGGGTGGTGGAGGTGGCTGTTCTACCCTATCCTATAGGGTTGCTATGAATCAGAAATGACTAGATGGCCGCGAGTTTACTATCCTGGAGTTTCTTGGGGCTCTGAACATTCTGAAACTATCTCTTTTAGGGTCAAGGGAATCTATTTCTGCTGAGGTTCATTCTCTGTGTTTTTTACAGAGTAAAACCAGTTGCCGTGACTCATGGGAACCTCATGTGTGTCAGAGTAGAGATAGAGTCCATGGGGTCTTCAATGGCTGGTTCTCAGAAGTGACTGGCAGGCAATTCTTCTGCAGAACCTCTGGGTGATTCCACCTTCAACTTTTAGGTTCGCAGCCCAGCAAGTTTACTATTTGAGTTACAATAGTGGCATCTGTACTTGGAGTTACTCTTCCTCACATTTTTGATTTAACAGTTACTACTTTCTGCATCTAAAGCCTACTCTTTCCATTCATGTTACATATGATACAAAAAGACAGGCAGCAGTGAATATAAATCTTCAAGAAGCTTCCGGACTGGAGTGCTCAGCAACAAATGGTCAAGGGCAGAGTTTTCTTCTCTTTTTTATTGTCTGTGCATGATGATTTGGGGTGGAAAGCTGTTAAATGAGCATTTGTAGCCTTTACTGATTACCACCCAAAGTTGTTAAGAGCAAAATAAATAAATCTGTATGCTTGGCAGTTGCATGTGCTCTGTACGGGTTTATTGAATGAATGATGACATAAAATCTTGCCAGATCATATAAAAGTGGTCCGGAACAGTATCATTGGTTCTGTGCCAGGAATTATTAGCATACCACAACCAATTTCCAAATATA